CGGTGTCCCCCCCCCGTGGCGGTGTCCCCCCCCGTTCCCGGTGTCCCCCCGCTGTCCCCGCGCTGTCCCCGCTGTCGCGGTGTCCCCGCGCACCTGCTGGCAGCGCACCAGGTGATAGGGCAGGCGGGACACGCGCACCTGGTGGCTCCGGTCGTACGGGCACTGCACGAGCGCGTCGGGCTCCATGCGGACCCGAGCGGCCCGACGGTACCGGACACGGTTCGGTACCGCCGGGGCCGGTTCGGTACCGGTTATGTCCCACCGGGCACCGTTCGGTCCCGGTTCGGTCTCACCAGCCGCAGTTTGGTCCCAGCGGTCCCGGTTCGGTCCCGGTTGGGTTCCAGCGGTCCCGGCTCGGTCCCGATCCGGTCACGATTCGGTCCCGGTTCTGTCCTCGTCCAGTCCCACCAGTCCCGGTTCGGTCCCGGTTCGGTCCCGGTTCGGTCCCAGCAGGGCCGGTTCCGTCCCGGTCCGATCCCGCCGGTGCCGGTTCGGTCCCAGCAGGGTCGGTTCCTTCCCGTTCCGATCCCAGCAGGGTCGGTTCCGTCCCGTTCCGGTCCCACCGGTGCCGGTTCTGTCTCGTTCCGGTCCCAACAGCGCCGGTTCTGCTTTACGGCAACCTCGCCGTTACCGCGGCAACGGGCGCTGCTTCCGGGTCCTCCGAGCCGCTGGGGGACGCCGCGGCGCCGTCTCCATGGCGACGTGGGGAACGAGCTGGAAAATAAATTAGGAATTTATTAAAAATTAAAAGTTTTATTCCTAAAATAAATTTAAAATTAATTTAAAATGCCTAATCAAAAAACCTTAAAGTACAAGAGCCTGGTCGGGGCTAAACCCAAGCTGGACCCAAAATGGACCAAAAAAAATTATATTTTTGTATTTTCACGCTTTTAGAAGTTTTGGTTCATTTGCATATTGGGGTTAATTGTATAATTAAAGTTTTGGGTTATGAAGTTTTATCCTCCTGGGTGATTTCTTTTATTCACTGTTGCTTACAGCTTTTGGGGTTGAGGATGTTTCGGTGTCCTTGGATTTTGGGACGAAAATGATTGTTTTGGTTAACCACAAAAAATGTAAAAGTTCAAAATTAAGGCATCAATGGCAATAGGGGAAAAATTGGGGTAAATGGGTCCTGAATGGGAATAAATGAGTCTTGATTTGGAGTAAAATGGGCCCTGATTGGGGTAAATGGGGCCGCCCTGATTGGGGTAAAACAGGCTCAGATTGGGGTTAATGAGCCAAGATTGGGGTCCCCTGACTGGGGACAAATGGGACCCCTTTGGGGACAAATAGAACCAAAAAGGGGAACAAACCGGAGTGAATTTGGGTTCCACGGGCCTGAGTTGGTTCTATATAGGGCCATGACACCCACATAGGGCCGTGACCCCAAAACAGGGGCCTGAGTTGGGGCTGATGGTGGCATCGGCCACCACCGGTGTCCCCCATCGGCGTTGTCCCCACCCGTGTTGTCCCCGCGGTGTCGCGGGGCGGTGGCAGCGCCGTCACGTGTCCCCCGCGGCCCCAGCGCTGCCGGGCCCAGCCCAGGAAGGGGAAGTTGGGGTTTGGGGCCTTTTGGGGACTCTGGGGGTGCCACCGAGGTGCCACCGAGGTGCCACCATGTCCCTGCCCTCGGTGTACGGGGACAAACTGGCCGAGAAGCTGACGCTGCTCAACGAGCGGGGCCGGGGGGTCCTCGTGCGCGTCTACAACCTCAAAAAGGTCTGGGGGGGGGTCCTGGGGGACACCCTGGGGACACTCAGGGGTCCCCAACCATCCTGGCCATGGGGAGCAGCCATGGGGATCGGGGGAGCAAGGGATGGGGGAATTTGGGGAGGGGGCACAGCCCAGGAGGGGATTTAGGNCCCACGCTGCGTGTCCCCTCTGTCACCCCTCCCTGGGTGTCCCCCTCGTGTCACCCCCATCCTGTGTGTCCCCACTGTCACCTCACCCTGGATGTCCCCTTTCCTCACCCCTCCCTGCTGTCCCCCCCGTGCCACCCACGCCGCTGTCCCCATGTCACCCACGCCGCTGTCCCCGTGTCCCCTGCAGCAGCACCTGGGCCCGGTGCACAGGGACAGAGGGGACATCGTGCGGGCGCTGGCTCCCTTCTACCAAACCTTCCTGGACGTCCTGGAGTTCCGGGTGAGCCGGGAGGGGACAGGGGGGACACAGGGGACAGGAGGGTCCCTCCAAGGCAAGGACACAGCGGTGACACGCGGCGCTGTCCCCTTGTCACCAGGACCACGTGTACGAGCTGCTCAACACCATCGACGCCAGCCAGTGCTTCTTCGACATCGTGAGTGCCACCCCCGCGCGCCGCCCCGCGCTGTCCCCGCTGTCGCCGCGCCCTCACGCTGTCCCCTCCCCGCCAGCACATCAACTACGACTTCACCAAGGGCTACCTGGACCTGGTTGTCACCTACGTGTCGCTGGTGCTGCTGCTGGCGCGCGCCGAGGAGCGGCGCCTGCTGCTGGGGCTCTACCACTGCGCGCACGAGATGAGCCACGGCGCCAGGTGTCACCCTGCTGTCCCCAGGGCCACCTCTGCTGTCCCCAGGCTGTCCCCAGGGCTGTGTCCCCATTGGGGCTGTCCCCAGCGCTGTGTCTGTGGGGTTGTACCCGCGCTGGCCCTGCCCGGGGTTGTCCCCAGTGTGTCCCCAAAGCTGTGGCCTCGCTGGGGTCATCCTGGGGTCGTCCCTAATGTGTGCCCAGTGCCAGAACCGGCCCCGGGGCTGTCCCAAACATGTCCCCAGCGTGTCCCCAATGCTGGGACCGGCCCCAGGGCTGTCCCCAATGTGTCCCCAGCGTGTCCCCAATGCTGGGACTGGCCCCAGGGCTGTCCCCAGCGTGTCCCCAAGGCTGTGTCCCCAACGCCGTGTCCCCGCAGCGAGCCCGGCTTCGCCCGCCTGGCGCAGATGGTGCTGGAGTACGAGCACCCCCTGAAGAAGCTGCCCGAGGAGTTCGGGCCCCACACCAAGGTGGGTCGGGGGTCCCGGTCCCCAGCAGGGCCACCCCGCGTGGCCGGGCCGGTGTCCCCAGCGTGGCGCTGTCCCCAGGCCGTGAGCGGCGCGCTGCTGTCCCTGCGGGCCCCGTTCGCGCGGCGCTGCCGGGACGCGGAGCTGTGGCGGCAGGAGCAGCTCCTGAGCCTGCTGGGACCCGCGGGGGACATGCTGAGCCCGGCCACCTGACTGAGGAGGGGGAGCCTGAGTTTTTGGGGGGGGGTTTTTGGGGATCCCAGCCTTAAGGGGGAATTTGGGCGGGTCCCAGCCCATAAAGGGTCAGGGTAGGGGGGGGCTTTGGGAGGTCCCAGCCCCAGGAGGGGTTTTTGGGGTCATTTCGGGGGCTTGTGACACCGGGGTCCCCCAGACGTGCTCGGACCCCCGCACGCGGCCGCCCTTCCTTGGGGACAAGGCCATGGAGGCCTCGGCCAAGTTCATCCTGAAGAAATTCCCGCACCTGGACGTGCGGAGCAGCACCGTGAGCCGCTGGCCCCGTGTCCCCCCTGTCCCCGTGTCCCCATGTCCCCATTTTCCCCGTGTCCCTGCTGACCCCACCCCTGTGTCCCCGCTGTCTCCACCCTCTGAGTCCCCACCCCCCTGTCCCCACTCCTCTGTCCTCACCCCCTTGTACCCACCTCGTGTCCCCGCTGCCCCTGTGTCCCCATTGTCCCCACTGTCCCCACCGCTGTGTCCCCGCTGTCCCCACTGTCCCTGTGACCCCATTGTCACCGTGTCCCCACCCGTGTCCCCCCTGTCCCCACGCTTGTGTCCCCACCCCCTGTCCCCACCCCTGTGTCCCCGGGACATGGGGACATGGGGACATGGGGACATGGCTGTGGGGACATGGGGACATGGGGACAGGCTGAGCCCGGCCACAAGTGACGGTGTGAGTGACACAGAGACAGGGTATGGTGACACGGGGACACAGGCGCTGGGGCTCAGGGGACAGTGACGTGGTGGCACTGCTGTCCCCAGATGGCCTGTGAGTACCTGTCCCTGGAGGTGATGGAGCGCTGGATCATCCGTGAGTGCTGCCACTGCCCGCGTGTCCCCAGCCCTCCTGGGCAGTGTCCCCAAACCCCGGTGCCCATTTTGGGGTCCCTGGTGTCCCTGACATGGGGCTGTCCCCGTTTTGGGGTCCCTGATATGGGGCTGTCCCCCCCAGTGGGGTTCCTGGTGTGCCCGGGTGCCCTGGCCACCCCCCCGTGCCAGGAGCTGTGGCGCCAGGCCCTGCGCGGGTCCCTCTTTGTCACCCTGGTGCGCGACGAGGCCATCGCGGTGCACAAGGTCACCGAGGAGCTGCTGGGGGGGCTCAAGGGGTGAGACGGGGACACCGCGGGTGGCACTGCCAGGGGGTGGCACTGCCCGGGGGTGGCACTGCCTAGGGGGGGAGAGGGGTCAGGATGGGGACACCACGGGTGACACTGCCCGGGGGTGGCACTGCCTGGAGGGGGAGAGGATGGGGGACACTGGCAGGGTGGCACCGCCCGGGGGGGTTCAGGACAGGGACATAGTGGGTGGCACTATCTGGGCGGGATGGGGACACCGAGGGTGGCACTGCCAGCATGGGGGGTGGCACGGCCGGTGCCAGGGACTGGTGGCTTCGCTGGGGACTTTGGGGGTGCCAGTGGGGGCTGTTCAGGGGATTTTGGGGTGATTTTGGGGGCATCTGAGGCGTTTGGGGGGGATTTTGAGGGGCATTTGCGACATTTTGGGGGCGCCCTGGAGATTTCTGGGGGGATTTGAGAGATTTAGAGGGGATTCGGGGAGATTTTGGGGGAATTTCGGGAGATTTTGGGGGGATTCTGGGAGGTTTTGGGAGGCATTTGGGAGATTTTGGGGGGTCCCGACCCCCTGTCCCCACCCCAGGCCCTGCTGGTGTTCGTGGCGCTGTCGCTGTGTCGCGACGAGGTGAGCTGGCTGTCGCGACACGCCGAGCACGTGACCAAGAGTAAGAACCCCGAGGACTTCAGCGACAGGTGGGGACAGGAGGGGACAGGAACACTGCCCGGGGGTGGCACTGCCTGGAGGGGGAGAGGATGGGGGACACTGGCAGGGTGGCACCGCCCGGGGGGGTTCAGGACAGGGACATAGTGGGTGGCACTATCTGGGCGGGATGGGGACACCGAGGGTGGCACTGCCAGCATGGGGGGTGGCACGGCCGGTGCCAGGGACTGGTGGCTTCGCTGGGGACTTTGGGGGTGCCAGTGGGGGCTGTTCAGGGGATTTTGGGGTTGCTCGGGGGAGTCTCCTGGGTGCCAGGGCGGTGCCAGGGGCCGGGGCGGTGCCCGGGGGGCTCCGGGGGTGGCGCGGGGCGGTGCC